TATTTTGATTTTATAAGATATCTTGTTACTTTAACAATGAATTAATTCATATCTCAAAGAGATTTTGTAGTCTAAAATGCCTCGCTTTTTCAATTTTTTTGTTTGCACTAGTAGCCTTAGTACAGTTAAGATAAACCCCAAAAAATGAATTTACTAATATTTTACTATACTCTCGAACTTTCAGAAGTGCAATGAGGCATTAGGCCAACAATTAAATGGAAAATTAAAGCTAAATGTGTCTGGTGGCTCAAAACGCCGTTGGTCTTTGAGAAAAGAAAAGTCAGCAATTCCTCACATTTTTGACAGCAAATATCAAGAAGAAACGGCAGAACCCACGGGCAGACTCACCAGTCATGCCTTTAATTTGAGCGAATCTGATGATCCCTGCTCTATAACTGGATCCAAAGGTATTAATCCTCATTGTGAAGAAAGTAAAAGCTCTACGTTGTCGTCCGGATCTAAAATCAAAAAAAAGAAACATTCTAAGCCTATTTGCCAACCAAAGACTCATCCCGTTGGCCGGCAGCATTCCACTCCAATTGAGTCCTGTAAAAATACCTTTATCACTGGATGTGTCTCTTTATCATCTTCTGCTGATATTCATGATCCTTACTCGCGTCAGGAGTGTATGGAAAGATGTTCTTTATTTGGTATTGCGCCTGATGTAAATGCGACAATTGGACAACGACGTTTGCATTTTATGTCAGCCCGCAAGCACCATCTAATTTCTGGATCGCATTCGGTGTCTTGTGAGGCGAAATCAGAAAGTCCAGGTCCTGTAGCCAATCACACGGTCTACCAGACGCCGCCCCTTGGCGGCTCCTCAGATAGAACCAGTTCGCCTCCAGATTCTAGCTTTACACGCACCATTAACAACCCAGAGGCCATGATGCGAAGGAAGCGACAACGAACCTTAGAGGCCAAATTGATCCAAATAATGCACAAAGGTGGACCAGACATGGGTAGGAATTCAGAATATCCCACTGGCTTTTCTCTAAATCTATTAGAATTGGTTACTAGTAATATAGAAAATCATCTCTCTAGATCTGTTATAAACCCATATTTTAATAGCTTTTCTCTTATTTAAGTCTCATCACCTTAGTTTCCGAAAACTTTTTTATCTATTAGCTCGAAAAGTCTTTCTTCTTTTAATTAATTTCCCGAATTCCTGTTGAGTCGAGCTCAAGTAATTAATGTGTTTTTCTTCCTACATAAGTGGTCTAACCTCTTTTTCGCAAATCGTTCGTGTTGCCAAGGCGATTTAGTTGGACGCACCCTGTCCAAAGGCATCTGCTATAATAAGTTTCATAATTTCCAGTGTCGGATCGTGGATTTGG